TACAGGAATAATAACTTGCACAATTTGGGTTGTCAGATGATTTTTTGAGAATAATGACTTTTGAGCTTCCATCATGAAAAAAACATTCGTTATTCTATCTCTATGGGAGCCTGGAGGACCTGCATGCTGAATTTCCTTCCTTTTAACAGGGTTTTTGGTTTGGAGAGGCTGCTCAAATGGAAGAGATTAAAAAATTGAGTATTGTATCTGATATTTCAATTTACCACTGTTTTCAGACTAACTCTGTTTGGTTTAACAGGCTCTACTGTACATATATATAATCATGACATGTTGTGAAAGATTTCTAGATTGGCTGCTTTATTGGGATCTCTTGGACTTGGACCAACCTATGTCAACTAACGCTGGTTTTTCTGAAGTAGCTATATATACCGATTGTATTACCTGAACAGTGAAATTTTTAACTATGATGAATTAAAAAGGGAAACCTACTTGACTGTCATCCTCTCAATGCACTTCGTTTTACTCAAACCAACAATCAAAGAGAATTGGACTGCTGCTTTTCCTTTCCTCATCCTTGCTATACAGAATTTTTTCCCCGCTCCCTTGCGATTCCGTCTTACACAGGTTCAACTGTATATATATATATAATATATAATGTATATATATATATAATATATATGGTTGTATTTCAGTAGGCCTACAAAGTCTACACTCTCAACTGAAAGGGAATTCACTGAAAAACAATGCAAAGATTAACAATTTTTAAACATGTCTTTTGATTATTTTTATTTTTCTTTGCTGAATATGATGTATTTACTAGCCTTTTCCTTTGCTCATGTGAAAGAATGCCAAAGCAGACACAGAGGAATCTTTTCAAAATGGCCAGCAAGTTCTGTATGAAACATGTGGATTTTGTGTGGAGCGAAGGCCAAGTGTCCTGGAGTCAGCGGGCACAGGTGTCAAGGTCACTCATGGGACAGTACCAGCGGCGTCTGTCACCTCTTTGTACTGTGGTGAGTGCATACCTCATGACCTTGAAATGACAGTACACGTGCAGCTGCACTAATTTAAATATATGGCAGTTAGCTATAACCAACCATTACCCTCGTCAATGCAAAAATGTTTTATTTTTATTACAATTTTTTTTTCTGTAACTTAATAAAGATTATGACAGACAGAGACAATGTCACTTTTAGTAGACGTTAACAGAGTAATATGTAAAGGAGTAATGGAGTTGTTATAAAATCGTTTTATTAATTAAAAAATGCAAAAAAAGTTTGTATTTTCTTCCATTCTTTCTTTTGGAATAATCTCTCAGGAGATTACTCACAAAACCCACACCATGTTATAGAAAGACTTCTTTTCTTTCATTGTTCAGTTTTGCTGCTTCTATGAAAAATGGAGGTTAGGTCAATGAAAATTTCCAACAATAATTAATGTGTGATGTTGAATCAGCAGTCATAATAATATATTTGTGATTTAAGTCTGCTTGATGCGTAGAACAGTTACCACGAATGATGAATTTTTTTTTCTTTCAGGTCTTGTTTATGAGCCGTATGAACCAATATTCTTCCAGAGCATTGGCAATCCTTTCATATTTCGCTGCGCCGATGGCACTCTGCTTGATGGAAATGATCGAGGCATTTCTAGGTCCCTTTATAAGTGAGTGAAAATAATCTAAACAAAAGCCTCTGAGGATGTTTTTCTTCCTTAGGCCTAAGGTGCTCTCAGCTTTCTAGAATAAAGAAAGAAAATTGGAATCCTGTTGACCTCAGAGGAGGAGAATGGTGAAATCAGGGAGATATATATATATATCTTTCCGGCTTTGTTCATCATCATGATCCAGTGCCAGATCTGCGACAGACATCGGCGATCATGGTTTTCCATTCTTTCCTTTGCTCAGATGCTCTCAAAAAAGCTACATTTCCCTGATCTATCCCTGTTACCCATTTGTTTAGGTTCCCAAAGTATGTTGTTCTGAGCCTACCCCAGCCTCGCTTGCCCTCAATTTTGCCTGTGAGAGCTAGATGTTCAAGACCCTTGTATGTCTATTCAGGTGTCCCAAAAACTGCATTTGTCGTTTCCTGATTGTTTTTAACA